GGTTTACCCAGTTTCTTTTTCTGGCCTCATCTTCTGAATATGCTTCGTAAATACACAATATTTTTAATGGATGCATTGCACTCGATGACACGAACACCCCATACTAACGCTCAATAGTAATTGAATAAATTACGTTCGTATGGCAGCTCAACAGAAATTCAGTTGAACGTAAAATAAGCGACTCACAACTCACAAAATTACACTCGTTTGGTTTCATCCTAAACAGTACAGTAGGCAGGTACTGATCTTATTTGTTTGAATATTTACAGATGGGAATATAGTTAAATCGTCTCCTTTTAGCCTCTTTGGATGGCTTTGGGGAGCAGCCAACTTTATTTATCTTTTGTAAGTAAAAAATTGCTTACTCTACTTTGTTGTCAATCATATTTATCGTTGTACTTTTTTATTGTATCTATTCAATTAGTAAACTAGGTAGGTAGGAGGTCAACTAGTGTTTGAATTTTGAACTCTGCATTATTTAATGGGCACATATTTTTGCTTTTATCAATCAACAAAAAAACGACAAAGATGCAACACATCAAATTTTTGGGGGTGGATTCACTTCGAATTAAAAATTGTGTAACATTTTGTAACAGCGTAACATTTTGAATCAATTTCTCTATAATGTTATGATTATTTGAATAAAAAAAATGTGTTCAATTCTTTTTGAATTTCTACCAAATAGATGAAAAAAAAGTTGATTATCATCCCTAGTAGGACCAAAGTCACAATAATATGTGTGATAAAATAATTTTTATCCTGCGATATGTTATGGTTATTACAAACAGCACATCCTACAGCTAGGACAAAGTGTATCAAAGGGTTGACCATTGAAAAGTCAGTCTTAAACATTGCCTATATTGCAATAATGCAAAATATTATGACATCACAATATTTAAGACTTCATCAACCAGGGGGTCAATTGCCTAATGGGATTGCTATGTTAATCGCTATTGCTTATGATTTCATTTTATTATTCTCGACCGCTGGAGGTTTTCAAATGCCTTGCGCTCTTTATTTCCCTTTGCGTTGGTAATAACAATGTTAAATAAAATAAGTCATAGCAATCCCGTTAGGAAATTGGCCCCTAGCTCTTTGTCAAGATATCTCTAATCTCAAGTTTTATTATTTATTTTAGGTTCCAAACCTTGATCAATCCTAACTACTCCAAGCATGGCAATAAATATGTCACTGACTATAGGCCTCCAGGAAGTGGGTAAGTATCACTAAATGAATAACTTATTTTCAGTTTAACTAAATACTGCTGCAGTTGCTTAATACTGTAGCAGATTTAGTCTTTAGTTCATTTTGTATATTATCTTATGTTAATCAACCTTTCCAACATTTCAATACTCTATTTATACATTTTATTTACTAAGGCTTTAGTTTTCCTTTTAAGTGGTAAGCAATTTTAGTCAAACAGAAATATTACAAGTATCACATATACTATACTTATATTGTATATTGTTGACGAAAGATCAGAAAATCATTATAGAGTATTTATTTCTACCTATGCTTGTATTTCAGGCCACCAAAACCACCATCAAGAAAATTTGGTGGCTTTGGACCATCTAACTCTGGGCCTCCGCCACCACCGATGGGTGGATGTGGATGCGGTTAATCATCTTTGGTGCATTGAGACCAAGTTACTCAACTAGCAAAGGACCCTCACATCTACCCCAATCTTTTTATATGTATATACATATAAAAAATATCTTTATATATTATCTTAAAGAAAGTTGCAACTTTGTCAATGTAATTACTGAATTTATATTTTCGTTAATTTCTCTTTAGATTCTTGACTTTTTAAAACAGTTTAATATCAAAACTGCCTTTACAAGACTTAATAAAATAAGTAAAAGATAAACTGATTGAAATTGTGCTCCTTAATTTTTTCATATACACTTTTAACCAAAACACATTGATACAAACTGCAGCAACTTTTCGCAAACACCACTAAGCTTGGGTTGCCATTTGATCTGTTTTAATCTAGTCTAATAAAATTTTATATGTTCAAGTGGCATGCTGTAACTTGTACTGCAGTTACTTCATTACCATTGATAAGTAATAATTATTAAATACTGTCTTTGAAATGTATTATTTACACAGGTGAATAACGCTTGCACAGTAAATGCAATGTTTTAAAATGATTTTAAATAATTCTCTTTGTACCTATCTTGTATCATAATTAATGTATTTTTGATTTCAAAAACAAGCATAATAATAGAGCTATTTTCCTCAATTAATAATTCTTACACAAAGATAGACATTTTCTGGATTTATTATTTTATAAGTGCCTGAAATGGGCAGCTTAGATTGAAAGTTTTTACTATTGGCATTTTCATTATTAATTAACATTACTGCATATTTGTAATTATAGTTCCAATCGTAAGATTTGGTGACTTATTAATACAATTAATTAATGTAATATAACTTAAATTTTAATAAAATAAAATTGTATATAGGCCACAAAGATAAATACTTTTTCTCACCTCCTATTAAATTAATTTCTTTTGATCATAGTTGGTTCTATGTTCTATGTTAGAGGATATGGTTTCCGCACTTAATTCTTAAGTGGACCTTTGTACATAAATCATAGCGCTCGATTACTCCAACCAGCCCACCTCCCTCCAGAAGCAGATCAGTCTTCTCAGTCTCCGGTATACCGAGAGTCTCTTTGCGGATCTGGACGCAACCTGTGCACTCAAGGAGCACATGTGGCACGTTTGTTCGGCTTCCATGCATGCTCTGCATAGGTGTTACCTAGAGTGTGAAAATGTTTGTTCAGTGAGCAGTGTCCGGTCCCCGTTACCAGTCTCAGGCTATTCCTGTCCAGGCGCAGAAGGCATTTGCTCAGCTTTGTGTCTAGGTATGACATAGCCTCCTTGGATAGCCTACATCCTGGAGTCGAGGTACACTATTCCGCCTCTTGCATTTGTGTGTAGTCACTTCACCAGCTTCTCAGCTAATTGATGGGAATGGATACAGTGTGTTCAGGTCCGATGGTCTTTGTATTTGTACCTCTCTTCGCAAATTCATCGGCTGCATCGTTACCAAGTGATCCACTGCATCCCTTAATCCATTGTAGTGACACTGTATTTCGGTTCAGTACCATAACGCGTTCTAGATCATTATGGAATTCTAGTCAGCTTGACGTGATTTAATTTTTCTTTAAGGATTGAAGAACTAAGGCACTGTCGGAAAGTACACGGATATGGGTATCCGTCACTTTCCTCGTCCCTAAGGCGTGTGCTGCTTGTATGATGCCAACACTTTCTGCTTGATAGACATTGTTGAGCATACCTAGGGGCCTGGATATTCTGATGTTTAGGTCGAGAAAACTCCGACTCCAGTTCCGAGGTTAGTCTGTGATCCATGAGTGCAAATCCTTAGTTCTTTCGGACCCGAGTGGTCATGCGACTCAGCTGCGAGTTCTGTTGTAGTTCTTTAAGAACGGTGTGTTTTCATGGTTCTGTCACTGGGTGGTGCTATCATGGGCTTGATTGCATCCTTCTTTATGCGTATGTGTTTAATTCTGGAATCCCTATTTAGAGTGCTGGAAATTTCGAGCTAGAAGGTCGCTAGTGTCGCCTCGTTTCTTACAACAAAACACCGCGATATGATATATAACACGTTTTTATCACGCTCAATTGTCAAATTACTATGGAGTTTGACAGTTAGACGCGGTAAAAAACGTGATATAATGTAAATTGTGGTGCTCATGCTACGGGGACTGGGCCAGACAGAGGCCATATGTGATGATCGGTCTGATGACTGTGGTGTATAACCAGTAGGTGATTTTGGAGCTTAAGTCCTGATTCCCTGCCGAGTTGTCTTTTACAATGCCATATAAGGCTATGCTGGCTTTTGTGGTGATGTTATTGGTGTGTTTTGACTATGCTGGATTTTGTGATGATGTTATTGGTGTGTTTTGACTATGCTGGCTTTTGAGGTGATGTTATTGAAATGTTTTGACTGTGCTAGCTTTTGTAGTGATGTAATTGATGTGTTTTATCTATGCCGGCTTTTGTGGTAATGTTATTGGTGTGTTTTGACTATGTTGGCTTTTGTGGTGATGGTACTGGTGTTTTGACTATGCTGGCTTTGGTGGTGATGTTATTGGTGTGTTTTGCCCAGTTAAGCTGTTTGTCCAAGTAAACGTCGCCAACGCTGCCATACTTGGTTTTGGTAAAGACGCTCTGTCGAGAATATTTAAATGCATATAAAACCAAATAATGGTTATCTTGATTGGAGTGAAGTGTTTAAAATGTATTGTAACTCTTTTATATGGGTATATGGAGTTGAGAGTTTTAAAATAAAATACAAACAATATACCATAATATAACATTTATTTTCATAGATTCTGTATACTTAGATTAAGTAAAATTATTTAAGTACTATTAAGTAAAATTATTTAGGTACTAGTATGACAGTGTACATACATGGTATCTTTTATAAGTACTTTCACATTATTTTAATAAAGCAAACACCGTACTTTCTTTATGTAAAATTTTACAAGCTTGCATTTCGAACAGTCATAACTCTTAGACGCATGTGTTAAAATTAAAACCTATTGAACTATGTGGTGGTTTTGAATGTTTATATCGATCTATCGACTATCATCAGCTTACGGAGCTCCGTAGATCGTCCAATGTACCTTTTCGACAGGTTTCGGCCATGGTTTTGTTCGTGATGTTGTATCTAGAGTTTTAAATATCGTTGCAAAATATGCATACAAGGTTGCATACATTTAAGTTTATTTAATAACATGAAAATTTTATATGCATTGACTGTGCGGCCGATACTTATAATCCAGGCATACACAGAAACCGAAATTAGGATGGTTGAAAATTTAACAAAATCGTGGTCTTTGACCAACCCATAAGTAAAAGTTTCTTAAAATTAGGAAACGAAGTATTCTATCTACCTAATTAAGTGCAAGTAATAACATTTATGATTTATCAAATTAACATTAATAATTATTATTATCTCATTTTAGTTCACTGTGCTTCATCTAACATAGGAAATCGGATAGGTAAAATGGCAACTGGCTCGGATACATTTGGCTTATTGATGTAGATACTCCAAGTCCGCTTCGCTAAGTCAAACACACCTGAAAAAAAAATCATGATTATTATATTTATTTTACTAAGCATACTAGCTGTGCCCCGCGGTGTTTCTCGTGGTTTATTAGGGATATTTTTCCGCAGTAAAACGTAGCCTGTGTTATTCCAGGGTTTCAGCTAACTTCATACCAAATTTCATTCAAATCGCGTTTACAAGTGAAGAAGTAACAAACATACACACTGGTGTCAATTCTGACATGATTCTCTAAACCTAAACTTAAATTTGACAACAGTGTATCCTTGTCATTCTCTATATACGGAATGAAAAGGAGAGATTGATGTTAAATTTAGTTTTAAGTTTAGAGAATCACGCCAGAATCGACACCACTCACAAACTTTCGCCTTTATAATATTAGTGTGACTAGTTGAGTTGAAGACATGGTTGAAGATAATAATGAGGTATTTATACCCATCATAATTATCTGTCTTAAGGACTCGGCCTCTTTAAGTGTACGGTTTGCACACCTTTTTATGATAGAGTTGATAAAGTGAAATTCCTGATATAAAATAAATGATATATTAAACAAATTAAACTTATAAGAATGATATGATAATTGATACCGATGGCAGACTGATGTGAGCGTGACCTAAATTATCGTATGTGGCGTAAAGTGCAAACTAGACAAAAACTGTACGAGTCGGCTCGTACATTAAGCCACACAAGAAATGCAGCTTTGTGACGGCGACATCTACGCGCACCACTCACGACTAAACTTCCACACTACACCCTTGTGTCAACAGATGGCCATCTGATATAACGAATATTGAGAGGGAATTCCTAGGGGACGATCGCTTCCGATGTAGCCTATAAAGCCCTTACGGCCAGAGATAGCCCCAACAGCCTCCTCAGGTTTTCAAATACCTCGCGTCCTCTCATTTTCTTTAATATTGTTATTACCAATGCAAAAAGAGCGCGAGGCATCTGAAAACCTTTAGCGGTCAGAAATAACAAAACGAAACCATGAACTACAGCAATAGCCAAAGCTATCCCGATAGGCGCTAGACCCCAGATCGCCCAGCCTTGCCGAAGACTTTCCCTTTAAGTCTTCCATTAGCTTGTATGCTTAGGTATTATGTTTATCAGCCCTTTTTGACAAGCACACCTGGTTTATTTACTCCAATGTGATTCTATTTACTTATTCTTATTTAAATACTAATCGAATTGTACGAGCCCTTGTCAACTCAGTACATTGAATTGCTATTTCTTGATATCGATGACAGGAAAACACTTGATAAAACTTGAAAGTAACTGTGTGCAAACTGCTTGAGACAAACGCGAACTAACTTGGGCGTGATTATGAAATATATTTAAACGGTTAAATATTGAATTACTTGCGGTTAAAAATGCTTTGCTAGCAAAATGTACGATTTGATCGTACACGAATCATCAATCTTGGTAGGCTACTAAATTTTCTTACCAGCAGTAATAGTTTTGATGATAGTATCTCGATCTTGGAAGACCGTGAATTCCTTTCCAGTTTGATCAGAGATGATGTCTTCGATGTCTTTCCTGTTCTTTGGTGGAGGATGGGCGTGGATGGCCTCCAGACGGGCAGCGCTACTGTCTATTATGGGCCCCACAACCTCCGTGACGTTTGCTCTTTGATATCTGGAATATCGAAATATTTGTTATGGCGGTCTAGATAATTATTTGCACCCCCTATACGATCCGTATTCACTCTCGAAATTGTCACTTAAATTTATTGATCCGTCGTCATATTAACTGATTCTGATATGCGTTTAAGTAGGTAGTGCCAGTACGTGCTTTATTTTCGGTACTAATTGTCTTCAAATATGGTTATGATACTCAATGCAATGAGTCAAGTAAAATATATATTGCTAAACTAATTCACTCACACACAGTACCTACACAGGTACTACTTATGTGTGTGAGTGAATTAGTTCATAAGGTAGGTACTAATAATTGCAGATCCAGCCGAGACCAACGGTTTAACGTTCCTTCCGAAGCAAGGAGGAGCTCGAGCTATAATAAGTTTTTGGTCACCCATCCAATGACCGACTGTTGCGAAAGTTGCTTAACTTTCACGATCGCAGGCCGATTGCGCTAACCATCTGCCTCATCGAGCTACCGAGTATGGGGACATAAAGGGCTTAAGATTATGAAGCATATACAGTGGTGGTCACTGGTCATATAATTAAAAACGCTTAAGAGGCATATTACATCTCGACTGTGATTTTTGCGTAAATTGGCGTTCTTGATCTCAGAAATAAAATGCGCTAAGCAAATTAAATAAAAAAATGAGGATGTTATCTCCTATAAAGTCCTATAGTTTGTAGCGGCCTTAGAATTTTGAAATATCTTTGATTTAATATAGAAAAAAGCTTATTCTAAACCTAAAAATCTTCGAAAATCGCTTAAAGTTAATTGCGATTTACTCCTATTTACGATAATATTACTAAGCAAAATTTATACCAGAACAATTGTTACTTCATGAGGAATAAAGATGTAATGATTTTAAAGCATGAATTTATTCACTTATTTCAATTAATACGATAAATACAACTGCAAAATTACTACAAAATGCGATGCGCCGGTCGTCCACGGTTCCCAACTTAGGGGTTTTGCCCCCAGATTTAGGGGCTAGAAGTGTTAAAAGGGACTTTTTTAGGGGCTGGAATTTTTTGGGGGGTTTTTTAGGGGCTATTTTCAAAGCTTCGGACAATATCCACATTCATAACAAACGGAACGAACTTTTTTCCCAAATTTGTCGGAGTTGCATATTCAAGCCAACCAAGATACTCGTCAAGGGTTCCAACGACCCCACACTCGATAGGGTTGCGTCGTTTAATTACGGAGTTTCTATGGCCACCTTCCAGCTCCATCATCAGACCCTAGTTACCATATAGTATCAAAGTACTCGCCAAGACGAATTAAACGAGCCCAAACTCGATGGGGTTGCGTCGTTTAATTACGGAGTTCCTATGGCCACTTTCCAGCTTCATCATCAGATCAGCTCTATGCCATAATAATATTGCATTGTCATCCGATTTATACATGCATGCAAAATTTCAGCTCAATCGGAAACCAGGAAGTGGATCAAATTCGACCCCAAACGAGTCAGTTACATACATACAGGTGAAACTCATAAAAGCTTGTTTATTAACTGACACACTATTAAATCACATGTCTACTGCTGTGATTGGTTGTTGAAAAACCTAATGATTTTATTCCACCAATTTAACTAACAGCCTGCTGTCAGCTCATTTTCGTTTGAAATTCCTTTCGGAAACTGTATTTATACAATAAAATAATTTATGATTAGTATTATTTATATATTTATATTAGTATAGTATTAAGATAATGAGTAGGTACTTAAATAAAAAAAAACTATATTTAGGGGATTTTAGGGGAATTTAAAAAATACTAAGGGGAAAAGGACATTGCTCGTTCCCCATACATCGAATGCCCTAGAACGCCCAGCAATGAGAAAATGCTAGTTGTGTTCGGAATCATTCATAAACTCTACTTAGGCATTTGTTGAGATACGGACAACTTGAGGAACCGTGCCCTACTACAGAATGTATTAGATTTTGAGGTTATAATTATTATACTTAAACTTAAAAGATGTACACTTTATATATTCTGAATAGATTCAGTATTTACCTCTATGTAAGCACTGAAATAATATGCATTAAATGAACATAAAATGCAATTAATAATAAAAATAATAAATGCTTATATTCATATTGATTTATGAGTGTTGGCAGTTGGCACCTATGATACCTATACCTACCTGTAGTAATAATAGATTTATTTTCAAATGAAATGTTCAAAGTCTTTCCATTTACTTGTTTCAATATTTTACTATCGGTAATTAGGTATGTATCTGGTTATAATTTCATAAAAATAAACAGATATTACATGGGATGGGAGTATAAACTAATTTTACATAATTTCAGAAATAATCTTTTTATAAATATAATATAAATACTAGTAATAAGTATTATTAACTAAGGTACCTAGTTCTATTTTTATGTTGATAAATACCTATGGTCGCCTATATTGCATATTTTATTAAGGTAAACAATCTTGGCACAACTTTTTAACAGAATCACCCATTTAATAATAAAATATTAACCAAGCCAATAAACTATTAAAATAAATCGTTATTATAGACTGAAACCTATTGAATCCAGTTATCAGTTGATTTTTAATGCTGTATTTTCAATAAAAAGGAGTGCTTAGATTGTTTACCAAATAGGACAAGTTGATGAACAGACTGTAGTATCTAGTAACAGAACTTTTATTTTTTATTTCTTTAAACAGATTGTCCGTTTACTATGATTTATTGCTAATAATTTAAAAGCATAATAGAAAAATAATAGTGAAGGACATTCTTTTGGGCATGCTAGGGCCGATTTCGTCGATGTCCTTTGGTAAGGGTTGGTAACACTGCGGTCGTCCGAACTCAGTACTAGTGTTGGGTAGGACACGACTTGAAAAAGAGTTTGTAAGAGTAGCCTCTTTTTTGTACTGAACCAGTACAATGTCCCACTTCAAATGAGGCGAGGCGTACTGAAGCTCGGCAATACATTTGAAGTGACGAGTACAAATATGACATTGAGGCGTACAGAAGCTCGACATTACGTTTGTGTGCACGAGTAGCACCTCCTCTACGCACTATCAATCTTGCTGGATCCAGCATGCAGGACAGCGCTATCTATACACGTAAAACAGATAGAGATACAGATGGATAGTGCGTAGAGGACTTAAATGAAATGTTATGCCTTGCTCTCTCTCTCAGACTTACGAAGAGTGAGTGAGTAACGAGACGCGACTATCGCGACATTTAATGTGAAGTAGTACATTTTAAAATTTTGAGCCGCTCTTACAATTTGGCGTCATGTCCGGGACAAATGTACCGCCTCTTGTAAGTCCTACTCAACACTACTCAGTACTGCGCGAGCGCTCCTCGGCGTCGGACCTATGTCAAAATTTTGATCAGGTAAGTATAATTCTTTTAAGTGTTTGTTTTATATGGAATCTACATAGCATTGTGTTCAATTATTTTTTTAATATTAATATTTATTTTATTATTTTTGGCATACCATACATATATAATATAAACATATAATAAAAATGTAAACGGGCCAATTTTGCATTTTTTTTAAATTGTCTTCTTATGATTTTGATGAAATTTTGTTTTTGTATTGCTATTCGTCCTCTGTAATAAATATTATTTTGACGATAGGAATACCTAATTTGGAACCATAGTAGCCCAGCCAAACTGTAAGAGATACAAATGTAGACACAATGAGTATTTTGTAATGACCTAAAAATCGAATGTCTGGTGCACCTGATGTGAAACTCTATCAACCCTGATAAAGTATAAGAGATATTCAGCACTAATCATTTATAATGTCACTATTTCAGAATGAATAACTTCTCTGCCAAGAAAACATTATTATTTCCGATGGATAAAGAAAATATCCCGACATTATCACTACTGTATTATTGTAATGATAGTTAATTAATTTTTGACACAGCAATCAAATGTAGGTTAACAACTACATATTATTTTTCTATTTAAGATGTTATTTTTTTTTCTATTTGCAATCTAGTATCCATATGTAATTGGGAGTAGTCATGCTCTCTTAAAAGTCTCTTTGGCGGTGCCATGTGAAGCGGATCGTTACGTTCCCTAAAACATGGTTGAGCGAAGCGATGGCTGGTTCATGCGTCATGCTGGTTAATGGGTGCTGCCAGCGGAGATGGGTCTGCTCTTGCTACATTAATTGTAATTAAATTAAATGTAGCAACTTCGAACCGGGAAGCGCAGTGTCGGTAGACCCCTTACGAGGTGGAGTGACGACATCAAGCGAGTCAGGGGGACCTACTGGATGCGGAGAGCACAGGATCGTTTCTTAAGGAAATCCCTTGAGGAGGCCTATGCCCAGCAATGGACGTCCGTCGGCTGATAATGATATCGTTATATTTGACTGTAATCGTACTTTTTTATTATGTCTTAAGTGTCCTACACGGCGTTCTTAAAGTATGTGTTAAAAAAGTATTTTTAAAGTGTTAGTATTTTTTTATATATTTTATTTTTGTTTGTGACGGAAAATGACTTCATGAATTATCTCATATTGAAGTCATTTTTAAATTTGACGGCTTTGTATATAATGGCAGGGAGAAAAAGAGCCCTTGCTGAGTTTCTTGCCGGTTCTCCTCAGTACAAGGTCTCCCGCCGTAGATTTGCAAACCGGTGGCATAGCATTTCGTCATTCACAAATACTTGTAACAGCCTAGACTGAATAATTGATATTGAGTTAGAGTTTGATTCGTTACAAGAAAAACGTTTTATTTTTGAGGGAGTACATTTCTGACATCTGTGAGTTACTCGTAACAGGGAATTCCTATTGGCCACCTCATAGCAGGATACCGCGGTGGCTAAGAGTAATATACCTAGGGTTGCAACGATATATCGGAATATCGATAATATCGAGACCAAAATATCGATATTTATATCGATATTTAAAATTCACTGATATCGATAATATCGATATCGTAAATTCAAAAATATCGATATTTCGTAGACTAAATTTGAACACAATAATATCAATTAATTTACCTGCTATGACTATCTAAATTGAATAATATCGACATAACTATTGCCTTGAAATCGCAAGAGCTTATAGATGTATTAAAAAAACCTTGAATCCCAAGAAATATACTAAACTGGTGTGGATTCTGGCATGATTCTCTAAACCTAAAATTAAATTTGACAACAGTGTATCCTTGTCATTCTCTATACAGAATGAAAAGGAGAGACTGATGTTAAATTTAGTTTTAATTTTAGATAATCTTGCCACAATCGACACCAACGTATATAGGTATAATCGTATACCTAATGGTAACTCATGTACTTAAATAAAATCCTTGCCTCTCTTTCTAGATAATTGTCAACTACTGATTAATTGAAATTTAATATCATTGTAATATAACACAAAATAAAATTAAGAATCTTAAACAAATCGTATTTTTTTTAAGCTCGCCAAGTCAAGAAAGTAAGATAGGTATAGTAATTTTGAAAGCTTTGGGCTTACCCTTTCTGAAGCCATGGGCACGCCCCTGATGTTTTAACATTTTAAACAAAATAAATATCTTTGATTCGAAATTGCTTTTGATTTGATACTTCTTACAGCGCTATAAAAATATAGAAAATATCTATAAACATCGTGTTGGAAATGTTGGAATGGCTGATATATCGGATCGGATATCGATATTTACCTGCCACAATATAAATATCGATATTTTTTAAACCTCTGCTTCCTTAATTTTAGGGTTTTGCTTTGCAAACTTAATACAAAGCTAAAAACCAAAAAATATCGATATATCGATAATATCGAGTTAAAATCGTCGATATATCGGATATCGATATTTTCCTGACTTAGATATAAATATCGATATTTCAAAAGACTTTGCATCCCTAAATATACCGTTATAATATGACTAACTGACAAATGTCAAGAACGCATTCTCTCAGCGGGCAGGTTATAATATGATGAATCTGAAATAAGCTCATGACTGTTGCTTTTTCACACAAAAACCATTAGATCGATTTGATTGAAATTTGGCAAATAGGTAATTCTGACTTAGGGTGTTTTATACTGTCATGTAAATAATCAATCATAATAGTAATATATATTTATAATAATATATAAATAATAATAAATATCTAATTTTTTATTTTAATCTAAAAAGAAAAACATAAAAAATAATTTTTGTTTTGAACTAATATCATCTGTCTTATTTATGGTATCATCTTCATTTAATCTGTTTATTCACATATGAGAACCTCCATGGCACTCTAAAAATGTGCGGGTATAACGATAACGAATTACTACATAGAAATACTAAAAATATACAAAACTTGGAAAAAAGTATCAAAATCGCTTGGTCGTAGGTTCAACACAGTATTGTAAACTCGTGACCTTCAATGAGTTATCGGGAACGCTTCAAATACCCATTCTCGCAGAGTGCAGATTTGTAATAGGGCTCTTAATCATACAAAGCCAATAAATACAATGTTATTACCATAATTTCAGTGCATGGTCCGTTTCTTAGCATACTTTGTTAGTGTTGAAGAATATTCTTATGACCGATCTGCATTATTCATGAAATAGTTTCGTCGAAATAATGTACCTTCTTATTTGTGTACGTATTATAGATAATCGAAAATCATGTTTAGGTTTCTTACACCATTTTTCATTTTATATGATTGTTTAGGATCTACAACGATTTAAAGTTAACCACTTGCAAATTAAAAGCAATTTCAATCTTACGTTTGTATGGATCTTTGTAACTCTTTTACTCAAAAAATACTAAATAGGTTTTATTCAAACTAACCAATAATAAAGCTCATACATAATAATAGCATGTAGAATTTATGTTGTTATTTGGAGAATTGGCCAAAATATAACAATAAGTGTCACGTGACACAGAAAAAATCTCCTATCTGCGAGCCATTTTGGCCTGCACTGCAAAAACAATAAAAGTTACATGAATATAATGTATGGTGGAATTGTATCTCTTATATAGTTCTACAAAAAAGTCCGGGGCAGCATATATCTATTTTTAATGTGTAAGCTATTATAGCTAAAATAGTGATTCAAAAATAAAATATTATTTGAAATAAATTTCCAAAATGCATATTTTGTATAAACAAATTAATTTTTATCAAAACGCTTTATCGCTTTTGATATTTCACTATAAACTTTAACTTTTACTCTGTGTAATTTCGACAAATATTTAAAAAGTTACAACGATGTTACGATGACAAAGTGATAGCGCGTTGTGCTATGCAGGAGTAAGAGTACACTGCGGAAATGATGAATTTTGGTGTTTATAGACGTAGATAAAACCTAGGAGGAAAAGAAAAAAACATGGGCTACTCACACTATCTAATCCTATAAAAAGTACTTACAATAAAAGTGTGATAAACTTATTAAATGATGAAAATTAGGTTTTCATAAAAGGTATTTATAATTTTTGAAATTTATTGAAAAGCTGAGAATGAAACGGTTTTCAAGGTTTATTTTAACGATATTACTTCATATTTAATTCTTGATAATTATAAAGATAATTCTGCAAAATTCGAAGCAAATAATATAGTTTTAAAGGCAAATGACCCCTCCCATCACCCTACCCCTATAAATATTTTAGGCTTGTTGAAAATACATCGATGTATCGATATATCGATATTTTTTGTTCGATATATCGATATTTTTTGCCGATATATTTTAATTCGATATATCGATACAAAATAACCAATATCGAAATTCGTATCAAAAACGATATTTTTTTAATTATTAGCGGCATATCACGATCTAACTTAATTCGTATCTGGAAAAATCGTAACTAGATCTCAGATTAATGATATTCAACATATCTATGATCTGTGCTGTATTTAGTAATGTCTATTATTTGTAAATCTGTTTCGCTGGTGAATTGGTTGTGCTGATTTCCATTATATTCTGTGGAAGTGTGTGCCTGTCTAGTCTTGTTTACGAAAGATGGCACCTGAGAGGCCCTGGCATTGGCATTTTCATCATTCGAAAATAGGGTCTATTTTTAGGGAGATAATTTTCGTTCCATTATTATTCCGCGTGTCATATTTCGTGAGATACTGTACTGTCATGTAGTGTAGCGGCAATTTGGTACTTTGATAATTCTTTCTTTAATTATAATTTGTATTGAACTATTATTACTATGCTAGGCTGACCTAAATATATTTTTGGAAAAATTGGCCCGATATATCGATATTTTTTTTCGCGATATATCGAAGCCTATATTGATATTTTTAAAATATCGATGTATCGATATATCGATATTTTTTTCAACTTTCGACATCCCTAAAATATTTCGATAATGTTGTTTTTTTATAGATAGGTCCGACAAATGACTCCACCCCACCTGATGTGAAGTGAAGGTGAAGTCCAGACGCGAAGATAGCTGATACAGCAGTTCTACCTGCCACACCAGCCATCCTCACCCTGCCGGCCTGCATGTTGCTTCTTCACGCCTCTTTTAAAGGATCCCAGGTTGTAAGAGGGAGGGAACACGTGAGCGGGCAGAGCATTCCATTTACGGATAGTGCGACAAAGAAATGAGTCACCAAATTTCTTTGTACGCGTTGGAATTGTGGCCACAGTAAGACGGTGACAACGTAGGCCAGCGCGCGTGGTCCTCTGAAGGAAAGGGGAAGGTGGGATAAGAGAGAATAACTCCTCAGAACACTCGCCGTGGTACAGACGAAAAAACGCGCTTAGTGACGCAACGTCACGGCGTAATTGAAGAGGCCCAAGGTGTTTACTCACCTCCGAATCGCCTATGATGCGGATCGCGCGCCGCTGTAACCTATCCAAAGCATCGAGCAAGTACTTGACGGAGCCATCCCAGAGGTGCGAGCAATATTCCACGCAGGACCGCACTTGCGTTTTGTACAACAAGCACAGTTGATCGGGTGTGAAAAAACGCCGCACCTTGTTCAGGACTCCGAGTTTGCGTGAAGATGTTTTGATCACGGTTTCGATGTAGTTTATGTAGCTTAGAACCAAGGCCCCATCTATTTCTATAGGGAAATTCATCATAATCGATTTAGCTATTAGGGCGCGAAAGCGTAATAAACTCACTTTCGCATCTATAATATTGTATTATACTAGTGATCCGCCCCGACATTACATGGGCGAAATTTATTTTAACGGGATAGAATATAGCCTATGTCACTCGAATATAATGTAGTTATAAAGAAAAAAAATACTAAAAAGAATCCTCTCGGAGAAGTTGTTAGAATTTATTTTTCAAGTAAAATTTTTCATTTAGTTTTTGAGTCAAAATGTTGTCTTTGCTAGAAGGCTTCTTAATTATAATATGACCACCAAGGTATAATCAAAAAAAAAGTACTCACCTATTGCAATGAACCAAAGGTTCCTTGTCGTACTTGTGGACGTTCAACAACGACTTATTAGCATTAAGGTTCGGAGCTACTTCTACGTTGTAGAGCTGCCTCGCCCCCCAGGAGTCAGTCCATATCATGTTCACGGAGAAACCGTTGCCGATTCCAAGACCTTCGTCGAGTAAAATTCTTTCTGCGTCGTAGAAACTCTTGGCTGCCAGCAGCGCTCGAGTGATGAAAGTTCGTGCTGTAAGGGAACATAGAAGATTTGATTCGATTGATCCATTATAAGTTTTCTAAGGGTTCCGTCCCCTTGGCGGAGCCATATAATGTCCCTGACTGCACAGAGTGGCTGGGGGACAGTGAGGGCCTAGTGACAATAGCAACACCGTCGAGATAAGATTACCCTTAAAACTGAGAGAAAGGGGACCCGGATTTGTGGTGGCGAAACGGGGAGAAACCTCAATGATAAATCTACTTCTCTCCAAACAGGGGAGCAGTTGAGCTCGCGGAATGGTTGGGACACGGAAGGCGCAGAAGAGATGGCCGCGGTACAAGCGTGGAACCTGGATGCAAACCAACCAGCGCCAAGGAATGGGCAGGAAAAATGAGGGAGGCAGAGACGGAAAGAACTACGCTTCTCCCTCCCACTCTCGTGAGAGCCGCGAGTACGCCCTGGAGGGGGGACATAGCACAAGCTCTCTGGATGTCGATACCCGGATGTCGGGGTACAATACCCCTAGCACGAACTAATATCGAATTCGAATAGTTTGCAAACCGAATTGTCAATGTCAAATTTTGTATGGAAACTTGAACAGCAGCGGCACAAAGTGCGTAACGAGAACTAAAAATCAGTACACATTTGACAATGACATTTTGGAATCGCAAACGATACGAATTCGATATTCGTTCGCCTAGCACGAACGAATATCGAATTCGTATCGAAGCGATCTCCACTCCAGCCCCTCTAGCATGACCACCGAAACGGGATATGATAAAGCGATATATCGGCATTAACTGTCAGACTTTTTTATCCGTGCGGTGACGGAGAAAGAATACAACTCACCGCCCCTTTTCTTCCCGTGGGTGTCGTAAGAAGCGACTAAGGGATGTCGGAGCTTCCATCCGCTCTTCTGGTGGTAGGGTGCCTAACACCCGCCTGGTTTGTTACCACCGTGCGCATGGTGAAAAACCCGTGAAGTGCTTCTCGCGCGTTTCGGGGTCAGCCAGCGTACAACCAGAGCTCGAGTGGAAGTTGTCGCGAAGGATTCGATCCAGGGGAGGCATCCGTGGAACCGATGCCGGGAGGACTGCATCGACCCGTCGGCCAGGGAGACCCGTAGAAACGGCTGTCCCGCTGGCCGCCCGTGGCACAGTACAGGGGCCCAAGCGTTCCTAACCAGTTCGCGAGGCTGCCCCATCATGTCACGCATAATCTCGGGGTGGACCGTCGTGCCGGTTGGTGACCGGGGCGTGGGGTCCCGGCGGCCACTCCCGGGGGGGGTGCGGGGGCCCTTCCGTCCGGCGGGTCGGCGCATCTCCACTGCAGGCAGTCAATCGGGAAGACAAACCTCCCTTATTTGCCCGGACTCTTCGCGACGGCGTCCGCTCGTTTTCGCGTCTCTTTTTTTTTTCACTTCCACCATGGCAGCCTCAATAACAAAGTTTGGACGTACAGCGGTGCACACCCCCACGCCTTCAACGCTGTTTGAGGTCGAGTTCTGCAACATACGCGGACTCCACTCTAACCTCAACGCTGTCCACCACCATCTCGAGACAGCACGGCCAGCATTGTTGTTCCTGACGGAGACACAAATACTTCCGCCTGCTGACACAGGCTACCTTAATTATCCCGGCTACGTGCTTGAAGAGTCCTTCAAAGCGAAAGCCGGTGTATGCCTGTATGTTCGGGCGGATGTTTGTTGTCGCCGTCTCCGCTGCTTGGAAGATCCCTCCTTCTCCATGCTGGGGGTACACGTCGACTCTGGCCCCCGGGCCAGAGTCTACGTGTGCCTCTACAGATCCCACACCGGCGATGTTGAGACAACTCGACTTTTTGAACACCTTAGTCGGGCAGCAGATGACGCGCAGGAGCGATTTCCCAATGCAGAATTAGTGTTTTTGGGGGACTTTAATGCTCACCACAATTTGTGGTTAAGTTCTTCCAAAACTGACCATGCAGGGATCTCTGCTCACACATTCGCTCTCACGCATGACTTGAAGCAACTGGTTGATCAGCCCACCAGGATCCCAGATATTCCAAGTCAAGCGCCTTCTTTACTGGACCTTCTGCTCACGACCCATCCACAGGGCTATCAGGTTGTGGTAAGAGCTCCCCTGGGCTCGTCCGACCACTGCCTGATATCTGCCAAAGCACCACAGGCCAAGCCTCCGCGTCCAGCAGTGGTCAAGCGCCGTATCTGGCATTATGGGTCGGCAGATTGGGACTGTATGCGTGATTACTTTGCGTCCGTCCCTTGGAAGCAGCGCTGCTTCAGTGACAGGGACCTATCGGGCAGTGCCGTTGCCATTACTGAGGAGATCATAATGGGTATGGAATACTATATTCCTCATTCTGATCTCATCAGTAAGGGCACACGTAACCTCTGGTTCAATCACGACTGTGCTGAAGCTGCTTCGCGTAAGCAAGCGGCATATCGTGCTTGGATCAGAGGCCGCGCTCTCAAGGATCCCGGAGTCGATTCACTCAAAGCAGCCTACAATTCTGCTTCCAAGGCCTGTAAGAAGGCTTACATCAGAGCGGATGCCCAGCGTGTTGCACGTGTTGGCCAGGAACTTATAACGCATCCTGCGGGCTCCCGTAGCTACTGGCGTTTGGCCAAGGCCGTGCAAAAAAACTTCTGCCAGCCCTCGCTGCCACCTCTGAGATGCCCAGACGGAACACTAGCTCATAAGCCGCAGGAGAAAGCCGATTTACTGGCAAAACTCTTTGCGGCTAACTCCCGAATCGATGATTGCAATGCACTGCCACCATCATTACTTCACTGTGGCACAACGATGCCTGATATTAAAATCAGGCAGCGTGAGGTTCGTGCCGAATTGCAATCACTCGACGTCCGGAAATCTAGTGGACCTGATGGCATCCCAGCAGTAGTACTTAAAAAATGTGCAGCGGAGTTGTCTCCCGTGCTCACGCGCTTGTACCAATGCTCGTATTCTTTGGGGCGTGTGCCGGAGACTTGGAGAGATGCTAACGTGCAACCGGTGCCCAAAAAAGGGGATCGCTCAGACCCGGCAAACTATCGGCCAATAGCAGTCACCTCAGTTTTATGTAAAGTTCTAGAAAAGGTCCTTAATAACCATCTGACCCGCTACCTAGAGGATCACTCCCTGATTAATGATCGTCAATATGGATTTAGACCGAAACGATCGACGGGTGATCTTCTAGCGTACTTAACTCATATCTGGGGTGAGGCTATCGACAAGCGTGGCGAGTCGTTGGCTATCAGCCTTGACATTGCCAAGGCGTTCGACAGGGTCTGGCACAAAAGCCTTCTCTCCAAGCTTCCGGCATACGGTCTGCCAGCCCAGTACTGTTCTCGGGTAGCTGAATTCCTGCATGAGCGTAGAATTCGTGTCCTTACGGATCGTAGCAGTTCGCGGTTCATGTCAGTGAATGCCGGCGTTCCCCAGGGCTCCGTCCTATCCCCCACTCTCTTTCTGCTGCATATCAATGACTTGATTCCTCTTGGGAATATTCATTGCTATGCAGACGATAGTACAGTGCATGCGGGGTATCTCGGACAAGCAGCGGCTGGGCAGGCAGTAACCAGGGAGAAACGGGAAAATCTTGTCATTGAACTCAATCAGGCTTTGGACCACATTTCCGAATGGGGTACCAGGAACTTGGTTGGGTTCAATGCCAAGAAAACTCAGGCTTGCGCTTTCACGGCAAAAACATCGCCATTCCTTCCCCTTCCATCTCTTCAGGGCACAACACTACCGCTGCAGAGCAACATTTCCATGCTCGGTATGGAAGTTCGCTCAGACCTGAATCCAAAGGACTACATCGAAACCGTGATCAAAACAGCTTCACGCAAACTCGGAGTCCTGAACAAGGTGCGGCGTTTTTTCACGCCCGATCAACTGTGCTTGTTGTACAAAACGCAAGTGCGGTCCTGCGTGGAATATTGCTCGCACCTCTGGGATGGCTCCGCCAAGTACTTGCTCGATGCTTTGGATAGGTTACAGCGGCGCGCGATCCGCATCATAGGCGATGAGGAGGTGACTAAACACCTTGAGCCTCTTCAATTACGCCGTGACGTGGCGTCACTAAGCGCGTTCTATCGTTTGTACCACGGCGAGTGTTCTGAGGAGTTATTCTCTCTTATCCCACCTTCCCCTTTCCTTCAGAGGACCACGCGCGCTGGCCTACGTTGTCACCGTCTTACTGTGGCCACAATTCCAACACGTACAAAGAAATTTGGTGACTCATTTCTTTGTCGCACTATCCGTAAATGGAATGCTCTGCCCGCTCACGTGTTCCCTCCCTCTTACAACCTGGGATCCTTTAAAAGAGGCGTGAAGAAGCAACATGCAGGCCGGCAGGGTGAGGATGGCTGTCAGGGTGAGGATGGCTGTGTCGCAGGTAGAACTGCTGTATCAGCTATCTTCGCGTCTGGACTTCACCTTCACTTAACATCAGGTGGGGTGGAGTCATTTGTCGGACCTAACTATAAAAAAAAAGACTACTATGGAGTTTGACAGTAGTCTGACAGTTAATGTCGATATATCGCTTTATCATATCCCGTTTCGGTGGTCATGCTAGAGGGGCAGAACTTGTCTACCCCAACGGTTAGCGATTCTTCGGCAAATATGTCAGCCCACTAGATATAGTGCTAGGGGTACAGATGGGAAATTTTAACGAGCGAGACGGTTCCATGTTGACAATGGGCAAATTTAGTTATGGGCAGCGAAACTATAAGGGCTAAATGCTGGCTGACTTCATGAAAAAGGAGGCCTTCTCTTTATGATAAACTCTTTCTTTAACGTAGCTGAACACGAATAACCGTAGCCAAAGTATGAGATTTTGAAGGAAGTTGAGAGCTTCTATAGAGTTAAAATACATCTCAACACAAAACCTGTCGATGATTTGGTTAGACCATATTACCCCGACACTATACCCAAGATATCCCGGATGTCAGCCAATACGAGATTAGTAACAATTAAACAACTGAAGAACAATAAAGCACCAGGGGATCACAAAATCATAGCAGAACTCCTGAAAGCAGGCGAAAAATTAGTACGTTTTAAATCTTTTAGAGATTTATTTAATTCCATTATTCTCATAAAGGGGCTTAGAGTTGCGGTCTTGCATGGCAAGCGAGGGCCAGAGCTATGATCGGTATTTCTCTACGTGATCGAAGCAGAAATAAGAAAATCCGTAGAGGAACTAGAATAACCGACATAACTCAAGGAATCACCAAGCTGAAGTGGCAATGGGCGGGCCACTTTGTTCGGGGGGGCTTGACGGACGTTGTGATTCCAAGGCGATTCCATGACGATTTCGCACCGGGAAGCGTAGTGACGGTAGACTCCTCACTAGGTGGAATCAGGACAACGAATGAATCGAGTTGACTGAATACATTACTAACTTGACATTGAATACGTGCGTAGGCAGGCGTAGGCTGATGATTATGATCTGAATTCGATATGAATTCAAAAAAACTAACTCTTTCAATATTTACTAATGATTTTGGAAATTAGAATACAAGGAAAGTCACTCGACTAATGGGATTATCAGTATACCCTCCTACTTAAATCTGGCGACAAGCTTTTATATTAAATAAATTGTGTAATGACGTTATAAGTTAATAATAACAATTGTAAAGGAAAAATTTATTTAATACTTTTAAGCGCATTTAAATAAAAGTTTGCTTTTAAAATGATTTTTTTACCGGCTATATTAGAAGTGAGACTAGCTCAGAATAGTATCTTTAGCAACCAGGACAGGCAGGCAATAAGGAATATGCATTGATATAGAAAGTGAAAATAGAGTAAATCAAAACCATAAAGGATAAGTATATACACCTGCATCTAGTAGTCCGGTCAATTTAGACAATTCAAATAACAAAAACCCCGACAGAGCCAAATATTGGTGGAGACCTTTGTTTTACCCTTATGAATAAAAATTTAAAAGTCCCCATCAATCCCATGCGAGCTCCAAAAGTTATGCGGGGCCAAAGGTCAAAATTTTAGGTTTTTTGACTTTTTCTCAAAAACGGTAAGTTTAATCAAAAAAATACCTCCGACTAAAATTTTAGATCTCAAAATTCTCTCCATATTTTTTTTCTCTAAGTATCACCGTTCCTGAGATATCGTGATTGTGAGAGTCACGTACTACGTAATATGCACACATTTGTTACATGTATACATATTCAGGTTCTTAAGCAAACAAAAATACTTATTTGTGTCTCTTATATGAATAAACTATATACTATACTAGCGGACCCGACAGACGTTGTCCTGTCTACACGTCTTTGTGAATCTAAACCATTCTCAGATCCCCTTGAACACACACAAAAAAATTCATCAAAATCGGTCCAGTCGTTTAAGAGAAGTTCAGTGACATACACACTCACAGAAGAATTATATATATAAAGATTATGAATATACCATATTGAGAAAATATATAGTTAGAGTCGTAGTGGGTGAAGATGTTGATTTGCTGGTACTACTTACTGCAAGGACTCCAAATATAAAATTCTTTATTTTTTGAAACCTGGAAGGCTCAACAGCGTACAGAAATATATTCTTCAAGAAGTTTATCAGCTTACCCTAAATGTCAAAACTATATTTTATTTTTACATGCGGTAATCGGTTGTGACACTACATCAGCAATGTACAGAAGGGGCAAAACTTCAATATTGAAATTTTGAAATTTTTTGAAAAAAATTAATTTATTGCGCCAAAGTATTTATGAATATAGATTCTTTACCTCAAACAATAATTACAAAAGGAATTCATTTTCTTCTTGCTGTTTATGGAGCTCCAAAAAAATTAATTGCATTGATAAATACAGGTATTTAACCTTCCTCAAAAATACACGAAACAAGAAGCAAGTACAACTATCTTGTCTTCCTCCAACTTCGGCATCTACTGTTCAGCATTTGTATAGAGTTTACTATCAAGTTCAGACATGGCAAGGCAATGAACTGAACCCTGAAGACTGGGGTAAATAATACTTTGGAACCAGTACAGACTTTACTTCCTCCTGCTCCAGAAAAACTACTTAACACTATTTTTTGCAATTGCAAGAAAGGTTGTAGTGCCAAATGCAGTTGTAGAAAAGTAGGATTACAGTGTTCTCCAGCGTGTACCAATTGCCAAGGTCAGTCTTGCTCAAATGTACAATTGAATACAGCAGAGGAAGATTCATGTGATTTTGATAAAGAAACAACTGATTTATCTACATTTGAACAATTTTTGAACATCCAGCAAGAGCAAGAAGAAAAAGAAGAAGAAGAAATCGAAGAAGACATGATTAATGAAGTCGACTATGAAGAGTATGAATCAGATTGAAATATGAAAAGAAATGAGAACGGCAATTAATGATTTTGATCATTATCAGAAATGATATAATTTTGTTTAAATTGTTTCCTGATATGTTTGTGTGTATGTAATGATAAAGTAACGTTTATTAGCCTCGTCATGTTTTAAAACTACTAATTTATCCCTTTTCTTCGAAAAACTAATAGACCGTTATATTAGTTTTTCATTGTGAGCAAAAGACAGAGCGGTGTATTTTGCAATCGAGCTGTATATATAACTCATTTCGGTCAAATGTTAATTTATATACGAGGATCGATAAAGCAAGTATTAAAATATGAACATTGATACTAACGAGTGTTACCAGGCTTCAATACCAGAGGACTGAGTGTGTTGATGGAAAACACGAGTCCATTTCCGTTATACCCCATAGTGTATCCAGGGAGATGCCCAGCATAGCAAAGGGACGAAAATCTTTCCTCTACAGCCTGTAAAAAAAAATTTGAGTTACTTAAATGTTGGTATCTTTCACATACTACTCTCTCATTAAAAGAAACTAAGGACGACCTGCACTAAAATTTTAAAACTTCAATAAATTTATCTTTGTTGAATACTTGAAAATATCATAGAGCAACGCGGCTGACGCGCTGGCCGTGTTGCTCTATGGAAAATATCCACTGAGTATAAATATTATGGGTTTTAACATGAATTTATTTATAGGCATCTAATTACTTACGTTCGTGCAATTAGCGATTATTTTAGTAACTCGATTTTTAATAAAATATTAATTGTCTTACCCCCTGCTCCCTGTCTTCTGGCGTTGGAATTATGTGTGCCGACATGATGTAGAAATGATTGAGTGTCTCGCTGAATGCATCTTCGGTGTGCCCCAGTATGGACTGCAAAGGCATGAAAAACGGTGCAATGTTTAGTTTTCCATTAATCTTTATTGGATTTACTGTCTTAATAAAGCTAGCTAGCTAGCTAGCTTCTTAATAATGGAGTAATAATTTGCATAACAACCAGAGCGGATACCACGTACATGTTAGCATATAATTGCCTGCTGATTTGTCGCTTTTAAGGGTTCTGTACATGAAAAGGAAAAACCTGACCCTTATAGTTTATAGGATCAATTTGTTGTTCATCAGTCTGTCTATCATGGCACTTTGTCTCGCGATCGCGAACATAATCTCGGAGGTATCGAGAAATTTAAACCATATTATACTCAGGTCTACAGTCCTTTGAAGCTGTGAAAAAATTAACATTCTGAGTTAACATAAAAAAAGATACGGCCGTGTATGTTGCGTTCCTACAAAGTATGGAACCCCTGGTAGGCGAGGCCGAGTCGCAATTGTCCTGTTTTTCAATACTTACAGTTTTTAAATTTAGTGTCTGCCAGTGCAACTATGTCTTTAGCTATTTCATTGTAAAAGGTAAGCGGCTTATAAATACTTGTTGCTTTTACCAACAGAGCCTTAATTTAACGATCGATTATTTATTTTTGTTACTTTCATGAAATTAATTCTTTTTGTAAGAGATGAAGAGGACCTCGCAAAAGGACTTGAACAACTTTTTGCCACGAATATAAAACTTTTTATTTTCATAAAGTCATGTTCTTTTACTTTTTTCATGAAAGGGTTGTTGTTTAAAGTTTTTATAATAAGATTGCTCTCTCAATAGCGCAATAATGACTTTAACCATACATTGCAGGATTTTATGTACGTTTTTCACTTTTCTCAATAATAGGACAATATTGAAATATATCCATTTTATTTACTGTTTTAACGAGTTACTGTTGGATTTTTGTATATAGTTTTGACCCACCCCTGTTATGGAAACTTGCGTAATTACAGAGTTTGTTTGATTAATAAATCTTCTAATCATGGTTTCAGCTGAAATTGATAACTTGTGATCGTGAGACGGCAGAGTTGATTGCCTAGGATTATATAGCAATTCTGGAACATTTGACTGGTTAATGTGGGATAGCGACTTATGTACCTACACATGCGTCAGTACAGTAACTGTTCGATATCAGCTCAGGATATCAGGTAAAATCACAGAACTTATTTATGTAATCAATGAAATGCAGTAATAAAAATGTAATAATATTGATATAACACAGTAGGTAGTTCGTTATAAACAAAAATATAAGTTAGAATAATAAATATCGCCAGCTTTAACAGAATCCTTAAAGCTTGGTCGTTGTAGGTTTGTACTGTGCGACCAAGATCTTGTAGAACTTGTGGCACATGTATTATGACTTTGAGAGGAGGGCGTTGCTGATGAATAAGTGGTGAAATGAGGATTATTATGTACGTCAATTTTCTCACTAAAGAAAGCGTTTTAATTTATAGTAACTCGGAATGAATAATAGGAAATATGAAAGGCTTATTTTAATGTTCCTCTATAAATAAAAGTTTATTTATATCTTCTTAAAATAAGTTCAGATTTCGGGCTAGCGCAGCGTTGCCAGATTTTTTTGCCACGTCGGGATTTAAGAACTGCAAGTGCCCAGGGCCCCGCGATCGATAGGGGGCCACCTCAGATCAAATATAAAGTCCCTAGTTCCTGTTTGATCGCCAACCGGGGGTCGTAGGGGCCCCATTATCCTAATATGCCCAGGGCCTCCAATAGGTTAAAGACGGCACTGACCCTATCATTAAATAGTTGAGTCTTTGTTTGGCAGTTCTTCATTTCGCGGCGGTGGCCAGTCCACACTTGTCTGTGCCACCCGCCCGCGCTTTCTCAGTTCGCTGCACGCACGGTAGAGTTATTCTCGAAAAGCGGGATTGAGCCTGTCCCGCGCGGGACATTTAATTTTGATTTAAAAATCGGGTCGTCTGGCAACGCTGGCCCGTCACAAGTTCTGGGTCTCACTGTAGTGTCAATTAAGGAGCATCATCGCCCGCTTTGAGAAAGACCGGATTCAATCCATAGATTCCACTATGGGTAGAGATTGAAAGGTTTGGTGTCACTTACGTTCTCCGGTGTGCTAAAACCGACGGAACTGCAACCACCAGTGTCGTCCCTAGGAATGTGGTTGTCGTTCACAGTTCCGATGAGGTCATCCATTTGCAATAGGAACAACTGGAAAAGTATTAATTGAAAGACTACGAAAAAGTCAAAGCTTTAAATAAATTTCGGTAAAAGCTGACTACCTTAAATATCAGCCTCATACCTTGGCCGAGCTGAATATTTTACATTTATTATTATTATTTATTTGTGATGCTTCTATATAAAAATTTAAGTAAATGCTTAGATGAATGAATGATAAATTATTCCGATCGAGTTTAGAGACATTTTATTATTGTCTTAGAAATTTCTGTATGTATGTTTTAGAACAATAAATTAATAAATCAAATGAACATTTTACTAGAAATAAAACACACGGTCCAGGCACGGACAGTATATGTATATAGCTCTGTGTAATTTTTGAATCCTATTAGATTGATAAAGCTAGCAGTAAAATGTTTAAAATCAAAGTATTAAAATAATAAATCAATACCGACATCGATTTATCGAGGTTATTCGATGTTGGTCAGTGTGAAATCTTAGAACTATTATAATAAATAAAAATATACACAACGCACACCAATTAGTCTAGCCCCAAAGTAAGCACTGTAGGCTTGTGTTATGGGATACTAGGGTAACGGGTAGAATACACATACTCATACATATATAAGTATATTTATATAGAAATACATATTATTAAACATCCATGACTGGAGTACAAATGCTCGTATTCATCACACAAACATCTGCTCCCACCGGGAATCGAACCCGGGACCTCTCGAGTTGGCGACACCATAAAACCCGGGGTACATACCACTCGGCCACGGATGTCGTCAAAATAGGTACTATTTTTTTTAATTTTTATCAAATTTAACTACTTATACGAATAAATATTATTCGTGTATTCAGGTTGCTTTCCAATTACAGAGCATAATGCGACTCAGTGCCACACAATGCCGAATTATGGTGATGCTTAATTGAAACGTGAATTAGTTTTCAAATGCACCAGCAGAGTGCGCTAAGTTCAGTGTTGAAAAAAAAGTCAATGATTGTACCTTCATCCATACTTATATTTATTTTTTAACAGTTTGAATGAACTTTGATTATTTAAAAAAAACTATTTAATGAAACGAAAGCTTTAATAATTTTTCAACAATAAATAATATTACTAACGATAACATATAAATAAAACATTTCGATCACCAACTTAAAGAAAAAACACTTGTTAATTTTCTGTCTCTAAGTTGGTACGACGGCACGCATCACACGAAAGCATCACTTGTGAGAGTGCTCAATTGTGCGAAGCGTTGCTGTAGTTGGAACACTCAACGTTAAGCATTATGCCGCATAATGCGCTATAATGCTGTAATTGGAAAGCAACCTCAGTTAGCACATTGTATTATTTATTATTATGAAAAGAGCAACAAGCTGCGTCTGTGTCGCTAAATGTTTATTTGATTTAAGTCCTTTTTAAAAAAAAAATATTCGTGTGTACCTGGTAGAATGATACGTTAGCTCCGTCGGCTATACCCTGCATTTCTTTCACGTAGAACGGATATCTTTTCTTCATATTGCTGAGTGTTGTGTCGTACGCTCTTCGTCCATCTGGGGTTTTGTATTCCTTCTCAAAGTCTCGCAAATTTTCATATGTTGCCATGAAGTTCTTAATCATCGACGAGAAAATGCGTCCCTGTGAAAAGGTGTGATAACATAAATTCATAATATTTGATTAACATATCATTAGTTTTATAAACATTATTTTATTATATACTGTCATGTCTTTTTCTCAGTGTTTCAGATTATTATTGGACTCCTATTTATTTACTCTTGCCCTATTTTAAAACGGGGCGGCATCCTGCGAAAGGCGGCACGGCCCTACCAACTCTGGCTATGGCCCCGGGAAAACGAACGGATTTTCATGCAGTTTTTACCATCACTTAGTCTCTTTCTCTACCTAGTAGTAGCTAACTTCAAACCTTCTCTTTTTTTTTGTTTTAATTTTATCTTACATACAAACCTTGTACTGATAATAGCGAACACAGAAAAAAAAACAATTCGGTGCAGTCGTGGTAGTTATGCGCGTACATACACGTCGGTGATTCATTTTTTTTTTATAATGATTACTAGAAACTACACCTACACCGAACTAGAAGTTAGAGCGGTTCACGTGAATTCGGAAAGCTTTGAATCAGTTTGCAATTCCACGGACTGTTACTGTGATTTTCTATTACTTAAGATATTTCTATCTTAAAACTCTCATCTTACTCAAGACTGCATATGGAACAAAGCGAATATTCTCTCCTGCTATTCTCTAAGAATAAACTCACTTTTAACCTCGGAATACTATGACATCGAGTTCCCCATTAATTTTAATTTTTCTTGAGCAATCTACTTTCAGTTGTTATTGAAAATATAATTTTCCTCAACCGAACGTAGTGGTTCTTTGGCAATCGAAAATGGATTGCTGATAAACTACAAAATACAAGGATGGGTTCTGATTCTGAGTCGGTACTTTTCCGATCCCGCTAAAGGTAATGCAAACATATTTTTATAAAAATGTATCAATGAATACCCACTTATCGAAAGCGGTTCGGAGGTGAAAAGTTTATTTTTATATGTACCAATGGGTTGACCGAGCTTGTGCAAAATGGACAATATATCCGTCCCGTCTATGATTTTTTCGTTTTCGTAATTCATAAATTCATAATATTTGATTAACATATCATTAGTTTTATAAACATTATTTTATTATTTACTATCACGTCTATATATTTTAATGAAATGGGTTAGAAGAGTATTGGGCCTGTGACTCACCACATCGAAGCCGACTTCATAATGCGATCCCTGGAGGTATAAGACCGGGACAGCACGCCGTCTGCCGATTTGCTTTTCACCATTGCCGATACCTGTAAAAAAACATAAAGGAATATATGAAAACCTAAATATATTAAGTAGGTATCATCATTCGTTGACGAGTTCTTCAAACCAGAATCGAACCACATGCGTCAACCTCTGTGTAATAGAGCTCTGTGACATACGAGTATGTATAGTTTAGCAAGTTTCGTAATGGCGTGGTCATATTATGATGACCAAATATATTTTTTCTTATTACCTGATAAGAACATCTTCTAAAATGTAATTGAAGAGAACCGTTCTTCTCTTTTTCAGCATTCAATATTGCGTAAGAGTAATTTGACTTTAAAAGCACAGACGATTTTAATAAAATACAAATCTAGGCAATTGTATATATTATACGGAAGTCGCTTCATAACTTTTTCTTATTATATTTTGTGTTGTTAGAAGAAGAGACATTGAGAGTAGCAGCAGTTTGAAGCCATTATGTTCAGTAACTATAATAGGTAGTAACTGTAATAGGTAGGGCACAGCAGTTTTGGTAGCGCCCGACTGGGGAAGTTTATACCACCGTGATACCACCTTACAAAAGATTAGCTGAAACTGTTTCTGTGGGTGAGTAAGGTTTTGAAGACTCCACGGGGTAGAGGATGGGGACTGGTAAGACAACGCGAATTTGACACTACTATCACAAGCATCAATAGGCTATGGAAGCAGCTTATTTTCATTCGTATTATATAATACGAATAAAAAAAAATGGGTGCGTGTACTTATGTAGGCGCGTGAGAAGTTATCCTTCTTTGGCATCGTTTAAAATTAGTTTTTAATTGCATGCAAATAATTAATTACAATAAATTAATAAAAAGTCTGGAAAAGGACACAGTCAATAAAATTCAGTTTTAATTTGAAAAAATAAATAAATAATCAAAATATTCAATTAAAATCGCTACTGAATATAATTTATTACAACATATGTGATTTGCACTTGTATGAAACTCAAACACGTATTCCGAATATACAAACTAGAAACATGTGGATAAATATCATAAAAATGAATACCTATAACTGTTACTTTATTACAAAAAATAAAGATGTGGTTTTTGGTTCTACTACACCAATGGTCAAGAGATGGCGCTGTAGTCTCTTGAATCGCGCTTTGGTTCCATTGTTTCAGATTAATAAATACTTTTGATAGGCCTTCACAATGCAGTCGTTAGCACCCATTAAATAGAGATTCTATTTCTATTTTAAAGCGACCAACTTCATGCTGTTAAAATTTTGTGTTACAGTGATGCGCGCGCATCTTAAAATTTCACTCTCATATTTTTTTCATAACGCGCCTAAAGAAGTATAACTTCAATAAGCACACTCTCATGATTTCAGAAGAGTTACAAGATTAAATTAAGCTTACAATGACCATGCTGCAGAACTGGATCAAACAGAAACATCTCCAAAATAAGAAAATATCCGATACTGCACCTTTACTTTCATTTTATGATCGAGTTTTGTGGTAAATTTCCGCATTAACAAATGTGGATAAGCAACTTGTCGAGATCGGGTTTCATAGTAGCATGCGCCACACAATCGCAAGGCAAGATCGCACAGAGAAATATGTTAAAGAGACTTCGATGATACAATGAGTAGAGTAAGTAACAGTCGCAAAAGCTAAGTAGTCGTGTAGTCATAGGATGGTAGAAAGTACTTGAAAATACTGCTCCTATCCCTTGGCACTCTTATGAGCATTGAAGGAATAAGGTACAATACTACAAACTGATGTTATTTGGCTACAGTTATGAGAGTTCCAGGTAATTTAATATGATGCGCGCTTCAACGGGAGCTCAAAATCTGTTGCATGTACCTTATCTCTTCTAATACTATACTAGTAAACATTAGTTTAAAAACAAAATTTTGTTTTCAAATACGAAATTTTTCGATAAACCGATAGTTTCTATCTCATAAGACACTTTTCCTAAGTCGGTAGAGTACTAGATAAGCTCTCCGCAGCCAGTAAGATGGAGTTCCTTGACGGCATCGCAAAAGTGACTTACTTTGCTTCAGCGTCATTGATATAATGAACGTAATAAGTTCATGGCAAACATTGTCATAAATATACATAGGCACTCCTAAAAAATTACGGATAATCCGCCCACAAAACCACAGGACAACAAAGAGGCGTATATAGGAGAACAAATTAACAATAGCACTTGCGCATGCCCTAGATGCCAATCTTATTAATCTTATCCTACCCTACCTAGCTAATAGTAATAGTGTAATCACACTAGGTCGTTAGTCCGAATCCGATTGATATTTTGTTAAGTAGATTGCAACTGAGTTGACGTTATTAAAGTCACGTTCAAACGCAGGGATAGTGGCAGCGTTACCAACCCTACTGTTTTAACAGTAGATTTGCTGTTTTCACATTGATGGCCATGTTTTCTGTTTCATTCCTATTTTCTACTGTTCTTCGCGTTCAGCGCCACCTAATACACTACTATGCAAACATTTTTTGATAACCACTACGTAATAAAACGCAATGACACTAGATGACAGTATCTTCTTTATATTTTTATGCACGGGGAAATCCCTATTTAAGAATAACAGCTACACTGACCGTGTAGCCTACACGCCTATTGTATTGCGTAGGTATTGTTTTATAGTCACAAGTCACAACACCTTGAACAGTTTCTTTGAATTGCGGCGTCTATTTTGAAAAAATAATAATTACAAAGTTTTTGATAAAATGAGTAGTGATTCATCGACTGGAAAAAGTCCTCCTAAGAAGAAAAATGTGAAATGTGAACAGAAATTCGTAAGTTCGTGGTTAAAAGATGATAGGTTCAAAGGCTGGTTAAAGAAATGCACCAAATGTGAGACTTATTTCTTTTGTTCTGCGTGTAATTGCGACAGAAAATGTGGTATACACGAACTGTTACGACACAAAGATTCAACCAAACACGCAAAGAATAGTTTGAAGTTACAAAAACAACAAAAACTGACATCAATGTTTACCTCAGCTTCCAACTCACAAGATACAAAAATTGCAGCTAAAGCGGGTGAAGTAAAAATGGCCTGCTTTATTGCTGAGCATAATCTGTCTTTTAACATAGCATCTCATTTGAATAAATTGATTTGCGCTGTATGTCCAGATCCGAAAATTGCCGAACAATTATCTATAAGCCGCACAAAAGCTAGAGCTATTATTGTTAATGTAACTGGGCAGACAGCTGAAGAAAACATAATAGAGATGTTACAGATCAATTGCTTTGCATTACTTGTTGACGAAAGCACAGATAAATCTACGATAAAACATTTAGCGCTTGTCGCTAGAATAGTAAAATTAGATTTCAGCGTTGAAGATAGATTTCTGACTTTAGTACCAATCGTAGATGGTACAGCAACAGCGTTGTATGGCAAAATAGAAGAATATTTTGTTGAAAAAAATCTTACAAATCAAACATGATAGGCTTTGATTCTGATGGCGCTAACGTTATGTTTGGAGATAAACATTCATTGGTCACTTTGTGTAAAAATGACATACCTCACCTTTTTACTATGAAGTGCATATTGACGTGACAACGTCTTAAATTAGGTTGCGGCTGGGAGTCACTTATGAAAAAGTGTAACGCTCGGTAACGTTACGATGAGTCTCTCGTGTTAAGTTTAAGTTTACATGTACAATGTTTTAGTAAACAAAATATATTTCTATAGTTAAAATTTGTGCAATTCTTATTTTCATTCAATTCCTTGTTCCTATTGTGCAATTTAATTATATTCATATCAATAAATATTCTACCGAGAAAAAGACGTTGTCACGTAAAATCTTCGCCCGTAAAACCGACTTTACAGGCAACCATTTTTTTTGTCATTCTTTTAACCTATGCGCATCATACGCATGTGAGAAAAATACCAAGGGGAAGAAGATTTCTGTAGAGACGTAAATAATCATGTACAAAATTCACCAAAACGTATTGGAGATTTCAAAACATTTCAAGCATTCACAAATATTAAACCACACAAATTACTCCACCCTAGCCAAACCAGATGGTTGTCGTTTATTGAGGTAGTAAATAGGCTTCTGGAACAATTACCAGCTATAAAATTGTATTTTCAAGCTACAGTTCATGTAGATAGATTACTTTCTGCGCAATCAATTCTCTCCAAGGCTCTCGGACCGACAATTTAATTGTACCTGGAGTTTTTGAAATTTGCATTACCTATATTTACCGATCTCAATAAAGAAATGCAATCCGAGACTCCGAAATTATATTTACTATACGACAAAATACTGACCGCATATACAACGATCTTGGAATGCTTTGTACAAGCTGAATATTTGAATCTCACTGAACAAGAAAAAAATGAAGCACAAAATATTTTACACGCAAAAGAAATTAAAATATTAAACCTTGACTTCTCGAGTGAGCAGAAACATTTACCGATGCAACATATATACGTTGGTGGAATGGTGCCAAATTTGATCAGAAGAAAGAGAGAAATAGGAGAACTAGAGGAGGAACAGCTGAAAAATTTCTACTTGAAGTGTAAGGAGTTTTATATCGAGGCTGCAAAACAGATATTAAAAAGGTTTCCTTTTGACGACAAAGACCGTCAAGCATTAAAATGTCTGAAGATCCTAAATCCTAAAGCAATTCTGGATTCTGAAATAAAAAAGAAATTCCCTTCCATTGCAGATTTACATTATTTCGTCCCAAAGATTTGTCCAAATAATATAACGGAACTGGATAGAGAATGGCGAATGTTAAGAAATGTCGATTTTTCTTTCGACCAAAACAAAACACCCGATATTATCGACTTTTGGAAACATGTACAAGAATTAAGAAATGGAGACGAATCTCAAACATTCCCTACATTGTGTGAATTGGTAAAGAAGCTTTTGTGCCTACTACATAGCAGCGCCGCCGTGGAAAGTGTATTTTCTGCTATAAATATTATGAAAACCAAATTACGCAATAGAATATCGACTACAACTATTAAAGGAGTATTACACACTAAATCCGAAATAACTGATTGCTATTCATTCGAAGCCACAGAAAAGCACATGAAGAAATTCAACAAATACATGTATGATTTTAAAAATAAAAATGAGTGTGAAAATATTGAAGATGAGGCAATTGAAAATGAAACTGAAAAATAATTTTACTTTGATTTTTGTTTTATGTTGCTGTGATTATAAATATATCAATTGATGTGAGTTCTAAGAAAGTTGTTTATTATTTAATTATATGAGCAAAATTATGAAATCTGCCTTTTT